GCAAATTTCCTGCCATGTCTAAAAAAATAAACAAATAAATTTTTTTTGCCCACCCGAAAAAAATTAATTTGACGATCCGCGAATAGATCGGAGAATCATACATAGTGCTCATCGGGAGGAAGTTGACACAAAACACACTAAATGGTAACCTTTTGTAACAAAATGTTGACTCTAATTAAGTAAAGTAAAAAAGGTAACTTTTTATAGGGCTTAGATGTGTATTATTAATACGATTTCTTATTCGAATGATTCGTAATCGCGTCAATCTTGATTTGAAATCATTCAAATAAGGTCCCAGACAACAAAATCGTGTTTTCTAAAAACGAATTTTTTTAGTAAGATTTCCTGAGTTTGATTCGAAATAAAAATTTATTCTTGAATACTCTAATCAATTCATTCACTTGATTCGAATAAACATTATTCAAATAGAACCAATCCTCTATTCTCTTGACAGAAACCTTGTAATCATGTGATTTGTGGCGTTCCTTAGCTTCTCAACATTATCTCTTTCCGGGAGCATTTTGATCGTTCCGACTATAGTTGTTCTAGAAATATGTGAAATTGTGATTCCACTTTTATAAATTTTAAAACATAAGGCCTTAAAATTTGCATTAAGTCAACTTTATTAAGTGTTTTATATAATAAAATTATTTATCACATTCAGATTCGTAAATTTTAGCGAAAATTTTTAGCATAAAAAATACATGACACGTTAAAATTTTTTTTTTGGTATGCCATATTTTTTCAAAGACATTTTGAACGAATTTTTCATTTTTGTTTATTATGTCTAGGGTTGTCATTGGTAATCGTGATGAACAATAATAAACATCGGTCAAGGGTTGCCATATGGCTCTTATATAAAAGTCAATCAAAGGATTTGTGAAAAGTTGACCTTCAAAATTTTTTAACGCGCGTTTTGTATGACGATCGATCAGATATAATGATAAAAATATATTTCTTATTTTATTTTATAGATGGAAAAAGAAAATGGATAAACTTATTCATGAAATATTACAAGCTAAGAAGGACTATAGTGGTATTTGTAACAAGGCTAGTACTGGCGATGATAGTGTTAATGTTAGTAGTTATAAAAATATGTTTAGAGTCTTTAGGAAATGTTAGAAAACGGGAGGGGATATTATAAAAATCGAAATCAGACATTATAAAAATCGAAATAAAAAGTAACTAAAAGAAGTCTTATTAGTTTATATGTATATATATATATATATGATTTATATTATATATAATACGTAATTAAAATAGGCATGGACAAAAAATTAAAAATTTTAAAAACTAAAATGAAGAAATTGGATGATAATAATGTTGGTGGACATAATCACCAAGAAAATATGAAAAAATAAAATCTATGTCAAATTTAGATGAAGAAATCAAATATCCTTTTACAACAATAGTTATCATTTATAACAAATAATTTATTTCTTGACTCTTTTCTTTTCCTATTTTTTTTTTAATGAGTATACAACTTTAAATCTAGATTATGAAAATTTAGAAAATGTTGATACTAAAAAATTGAAAAAAGAAAAAGAAAATTCCTCTTTGTTGGTGATTAATACTATTTTAATAATATTGTTATTGTCGAGAGAAAAATACCAAAGACTAATATTATTTATTTATAAATTATTGAAAGAAATATGCTATCATTTTTTCATAAATTGGGAATTCATTTTTTCGAAAATCCAAATAATCAAAAATTAAAAGTAAAAATTGGTAAATATTTATCGATTCTCAATATTTTTTATGCTAATTTACAATTGAAACTATTACCATCGTTGTTGTAGAAGGAAATGACAATATCAATGTCGTGACAATAGATAATGCATTGTCTCAATATAATGTTTCCAATTATTTATGGAATTTGGTATTTGAATTAGAAGAGGAGGAAGTAAAAGTTTAATTATTTGTTAAAACTTTCTTATCTTTCCCACTACTATCATGGTACAACTTAATCAGTAACAATAAATATACATTGTAAA